CTTGTTTACCACTATCACACATCTTCAAATTATCTGTGCACATAAATTATTGCATAAGCGTCACTGAAGTCAATTTACTTTCACTAGAATGATATTAGTGTAACTTAAAATAGTAGATCATCACTAACTTTGTGATTTGTCAACAAATATCGTGCTTGTTATAATCCAGGAGCAGTGAAATATAAAGGCATTCAAAAGATCTTCTAAGTTCTTGAAACCTGCTCGTGTCTCAGAATTCATGATCAGGATGAAAGTGAAAATATTTGTAATGCTGAAATATAAATGCATGAAATATGTCATTGTGATGAAACAATATTGATTGGCAGTCAACCCAAGATGTATCTATTCTTAATTTTGCTCTCAATGAAAGACAACATGGAGCAGAGGCATTCATCATCATCTTCTTGCTTAATCACTTGTTAGTTCCAAGTCTCCTGATGACAAGGTCATATAATATATTTAGTTTGAAGCCAGTGTGGGAATTTCATTTATCCTCTTAATAATAAATATTGTTTTGAAATTTGAAATGTTATTTTAGTGACTAGCAGCAAACTGTGTAATTTTTTTCATTTTTCGTGTTCATGTAATGTTGACTTCAGGGACAGATCCAGAAGGGGTGCAGTTGCACCCCTCTCCTCATTGATTTTTGCTCCACACAAGTTTTAAAACCAGCTGCCTGAGGGGGGGAGCAGCATTTCTATTCAGGAAACCCTGAAGGAGTCAAGTGACTTCATAGTTCATTGGCAGACAAGGTTCCTTGGGTGAATCTGATATCTTTTATTAGACCAACCCAAATAGTTGGAAAATAATTAAGCAAGCTTTTGGGTTCAAAAACCGTTAGTCAGGCTAAGGAAGTTTCAGTAGTTGGTGTGTGCTCTTCTTGGATGGAATGAAAAGTAAAGAAGCCAGGCTGGGCTGGTATGCATACAAGACGGGTAGTCAGTGAAAATGTAGACTGAGGAGTCAATGGGTGAGAGACAGGCTGGGGGGTGGGGAGAGAGAAGGGGGATGAAAGTGGAGAGATACCTGGGGAGTCAGATGTCAGGCAGGTTATAATGTGTCATAAATCCAATGTCTATATTTAGTCCATGATTTTTAGTATCCAGGAGGTTGATGAAGTAGAGTTCATAGGCTCGTCTCTGGGAAGTGTTTTGTAGGTTTCCTTTGAGGATCAGGACTGAGAGATTGGAGAGAGAGTGGTTTTCTTGTGAGAAATGTGTCCCACAGGTAATTGGGTATTCCTGTCTTTGATAGATTTCTGGTGTGCGTTCATTCTGGTGCGCAGTTGTTGTTTGGTCTCTCTACGTATTTTCCATCAGGGCATTTGGTGCATTGGATGAGATATATTACATTTCTGGAGGTGCAGCTGTAAGATCCAAGAATGCTGGTGGCTCTGTCATGGGGTGTAGTAATAGTGGGGGTGGTGGAGATGTGTTGGCAGATTTTGCATTTCTTGTC